GCACAGGTAATGGGGAAAAAATAAGAACCAAGATATATCATGTACAGGTACAAGCACCCAATGATAAATGTAAACGTATTGTACACCTAAAATGTACCAATAAAAGAATTTAAGATATAAAAAAGAAGAAAATAAAATCTAACCTTCTCCCAAAAAGTCAACTATACTGACTACATTTGAGTAATTATTTGTCAAAATTTTTTGACTAAAAGCTGGATTTTTACCTTTCTTTTCAATTTAAAAGAATATACCCCTGGATACAATTTCTCCTGTAATTAAGAACAAATTAAATAATTAATTAAATGTTCTAAATAAATGCACTATTACCTTACAGAGAATTTTTACTACCTCCCTATCTTCAGTGAAATGGTAAGAACAAAGACCAAACTGGAGAGAACCAAAGACTGCATAGGAAAGAAAAAAGTAAAGAAATTTTTACAATCCTATTTTCAAACTATTATTTGGAAAGGGAATACTTAGAGAAGGTGGATGGTTATAAGGAAAAGCAAAAAGAACAAGAAAGTATGTTTAAGGTGAGTGAATAATGAACTTATCAACAGCCAGGGAACAGTACATAGGGAGGATATGTGCTCAAGAATATTACAGAAAGTAAACCAATCAATTGTATAAGTTGAGAAATGTAAGCATTTTCACTAAATAATGCAAATAAATAAGTTGTTATTAAAATGTCTAGTTACAGGAAATTATAACAATAATTATGTAACAATATATGAAAATAATTTATGAAATAGCTTTCAACTATTATATAACTCCAGGAGATACTTCTTTTTCTTAACTTTGTGAAAATCAGTGAAACTTGAATTTTTGGGAAAGATATTTCATTAAAATGTCTTTCTAATCAATATTCTCATTGTATGTGAATGCACCCAAGTGCCTCTGCTGTGGTTCCAGAGGTGGAGAAGGAAAAGTTTTCTACCTATTTGAGTAAACTGTCATTTCAAAGTCTTTTTTAAGCCTTTAAAATTTTAATGACATATAATTTATATATAGTAAGTTGCACAAGTCTTACATGTAGAGTTTGATAGTGTTTTACATATGAATATACAGATACACATTATCAAAATTAACATATAGAACATTTTTATCAGTCGAAAAGGTGTATTCTTCCTGCCCCATGTCGTTCAATACATACTCTTTAGGGGTTCCCACTATTCTACTATAGTATAGATTAATTTGCCTTTTTTGAACCATTAACAAATGGAATCATGTAGCATGTATTTTTTATGTTTTCTGCTCAGGATGTTTCTGAGATTCATCCATATTATCATCATTACCAATAATTTTCCATTTTTTATTACTGCTTAATATTATATGACTAAATCATAAGCTGTTGTCTTATATTTTATTCTAGCATATTTTGAAATCATGTTTTATATTTAAAATTTTCATCTGTGATTTACCTAAAATTAATTTTTTACATAAGGCATAAGTTAGGGTTGAAGGTTTGTTTTTCCATATGGATCCCCAAACTCCAGCGCCATTTATTGAGGAAAAATAACATATGCACCACTAATTGTGTTTCAAATCTTTAAATACTGCATAGTTTCTCATATATGAGGGAAAGATGAAGTAAAAAGAATTAAGTTGTGTTATATACATGCACCAACTCCCCCATGATAAATATGATCTTTATGTACAGCAAATATGTACTAATACAATAAAAATTTTTAAAAAGAACCATCATAGGGCCAGGGATTTAGCTCAGCGGTTCTGGCACCTGCCTCGCATGCGCAAGGTCCCAAGTTCGATCCCTGGTACAAAAAAAAAGAATCCTCATATCTCCATCAGGCCCACTTAGGTAACTCAGGATGATATTTCTATTTCAAAGGAAGACCTAACTTGATTACATCTGAAAAGTTCTTTTTGCCATATAAGTAACAGGAGGTTCCAAGGATTAGGATATACACGTATTTGGCAGTGAGAAATGGGACATTATTCAACCTACTACACCACTGAAAATTCATGAAAAAATCCCACAATTGAAAAATCTTAGTTTGGAGATAAAAAAAAGATATTTCACTGCCCAGCTAACAATCCAGGAATATATTAACAGGGTAAGACAACAACACCAAAGTGAGTTTCTTTCCAGAACTCAGTCTTTTAAAGCAGTTAAGAGTGTAGGTTGAATGCTGCTAGTATTGCTAAAGAACATTTATCCATGTAATTGTTTACCATTCAAACTGAAAGCAATCAAGAGTTCTGGTCATCCCCATTTTGATCAGGAAATTGCAGAGAAAGTCTTCTATTACTTCAGGTACTGCATGCCTTGAACGAAGAACTGTTTGCTGTTCCTGAAATTTAAATGTAAAATTGCTTATTTTGTAAATGTCAAGGCTTTCATGAATAGTACAGATAAGCATTTCATTCATTTTTTAAAATGTATCTCAATTATTATATGCCGGAATTATTTCTATCACTAGATATAAAGCATCTTTTAAAACAAAAATGTCTCTCCCCTCCTATGTAATAGCCAAGTGGGGAGAGACAGAACTAAAAAATATATATATATATAAAATGGTCATAATATATATAATGCTACCAACTGCCTACAGGGGGAAAAAAGCAAATGCTTGCAGACAAGGAGAGCCAGGCCTAGAGCCCTATGTGTACAGAGCTGAGTTTTGGATATACCATGGTAAAGGAAGCTTTCAGTGATAAAGTGAGTTTTGAGCCATAGGCCTGAGAACACAAGCCCAAATGCTGAAATCCTGAAAGACCAAAATTCCTAGTTTGATATCCCAAAGAATCAAAATCCCAGAAATAAATTCTAGAAGAAACAATTTTAAAAATCTTTAAAAGACATTCATTAACAGTTTTACAAAGGAAGTTTATTTGAGAAACATAAAATCTTACAAAACATGTTATAGCCCAATATAAACAAAATAGGCAAAAACAACATGCATATTTTTGTAAGTATAAACACTAAAGGATGCTAAGGTTATTCACACAGGTGTAACAGTTATCGACAGACTAATAGTATTCATTAAGAAACAGGTCAAAAGCATAAAGTATGAACATATATCACTGTGGTTGGTCATTATGTACACCCAGCTCTATAATAAGTCATCTAAAATTCTATGACAGAAAACCTAAGTCTTCTGTCAATACTGATCAAATACAAGATGAGTTACCATTGCATAGTCACCCAAGGAGTTGAGCACTCAAAAACCTTTATCTTCCACAAATACAGATGTACAAGAAGGATATCTCTTAATTTACTGAAGAAATCTCAACATTTGTATGCATATACACAATGCTTAAATACAAAGTCAGCAACGACATACAGCACTTTTGTGGAATGAATTTGCAAAAAATGTTTTAAAAATATCTCCATGAAATTCTTTACACAATTTATACCTCTAGTATTGAAAATTATGTGAAAAAAACATATCAGTTAACAAGTTGTAAAAATAATATTAAAAATGTAAAATACTATAATTAAAAAACATAAGAAAATTCAACATACAGAAAAGTCTATTACAACCCTATATTATGGGAAATTGTATGTATGCTGTCTACACAAGCTGGCTAAATCTGATTATCACTAACTGTACTTTGAAGTCTTGCATCATGATGAGCCTACTTCTTTCAGGTTATGGCTTTCCTTGGAGAATACACTTACATTCACTTTTATGTGGTACCGCTCTATATTTTTTCATGATTTGATACACACTGAGATCAACATTCCCTATTTCCTCATTTTCTGTGCTTTGCTTCTATGGTGTGGACTGTATGAGTTAAGCTTGATTATATCAACTTCAATGGCTTGGAGGCTGCCCAGGGGACTGACTCAGCACACTTCTGGCTGTGTCGGGACGGTCATGGAGGTGTGAACCTGGGTAGTATATCTTGTTGCTGGCTCCTTCTCAGCCATTGCTTCCCTGCTCTTCTTGCCACCAGCCATTAACTAAGCAGCTTTGCTCCAGCCAGGCCCTTCAGCCATGATGTTCCTGCCTTTGAGCCTGCCAACCACGTACTGAATCCCCTAAAACTGTGAGCCAAATTAAACCTCCCCCCGCTTTAAGTTGTGGGTGTCAGGTGTTGTGTCCCAGCAATGGGAAGGCTGACTGATACAAAGACATTCAGAAATCATTCAGTATGAATTCATACACAGACCACATATTTGGTGGTGGAATGGCAGCACCACTGCATTGTCTTTTTATCCTGCTGTGCACATAATTATTTTCAAGCCAGTCAGTAATTTCACTAACTTTTTCAGTCACTTGTGGCTTTATTCACTTAAAGTTCTTGGAAATTCATCAGCTGGAAGGATTGTTGATGCAGACAAATAATACATTTTTAAGCAATGCATGATACAGCCAAAGGCACTGGGCTGAATGGAAAAACAAGCTTTATTGACATTACACTGAAATTCATTTTTAGAAACTCTGATATCACCTAATCAGTCATTTAAGTCAGTCATTATGGTTTTGTGACTCAACTGAAGTTCATTTTCTTATAAAAAACGAAAACTCTACTAAATGTGTATATAAACATTTATACAGTGCTTCGCGATATCCAGGCATGAATATATAAATAGAAGCAGATACTTTTTAAAATTTTAGGATCTAGATGGGACATAAATTATATATACTCAAACACATACATACACAAACACACAAATACACACACAGAGGTGGTCATGGTAGTGCACATCTGTAATCCTATCACTCTGGAATGCTGAGGCAGGAGAATCCAAGTTCAAGCCCAGCCTAAGAAACCTAGTGACTTAAGACCCTGTCTCAAAATTTAGATAAATAAATAAATAAATATAGGGCTGGGGAGGTAGCTTAGTATAAAAGCTCTAGTAACAATCCCCACGATCACAACAAAAAAAGAAAAGAAAAAACAAAGAAATGAACACAAACAAAAAATAATAAGGACCATTTTGAAATTCACATATATTAGCCAAAGTGAAGTTTTCCATGCTTACTTTAGAAGTATGTCTATTTCTTGATAGTCAACATCTCTAAACAGGAACAATTCTCCATTTAATGTGCTTTGTAACACTGGAAGAACTTCTATATCAGTGAGGGTCTTTGATATTTAAGGTGGCTGGGCCTGTCAAATTCTTTTCATTCTCTAAAGAAAGGTATTTTTTGAGGGCAAACATCACTACCTGTAAAGTGGAGGGTGGAGTAAACATTTGAGCAATTTGGCAACTATCTGTATATAGTATAACTGAAAACACTCTAATCTCTTCTCCAGAATTCAGCTTTCTATAACTCTTATACAGCCCTTTCTTTACAAGTGGAATTGTGGATTTTAAGTTTTCAACATTCACGATATAAATCTTTCAACAATGTATCATTTGTAATTATGATCAGCACTGGATAAAGTATTGAACACAAATGAGGAGGAAAAGAAGGAGAAACAAGATGAAACAGAAAATAAAGAGAGGAAGAGGACAAGGAGAAGGGGAGGAGGAAGAGAAAAAGGAAGAACCAGAGGAGGAACAGGAAAAGGCTGACAATGAGAGAGGAGAAGGAAGAGGAGTGATTCATGTTACAGATACCTGAGGTAACAGCATTATTAGATACTCTGAAGAGATCACAGAGATTAGTTTGCCCTTTCCCTCTCATATACAACAGTAAAAAAGGAAATGTACAGATGCTTCAGTTGTTTTAATTATTATTATTTTAAAGTATTAAAAAATGGACCACAGGCATGGAAAACCTCCCCACACCCTGACTCTAGGCAAATAGATGATAAACAAGTGAACTGCACCTGCCAAGTTCACCTGCCACCCGCTGAGTCCACCTCCATGTTTGGGGGAAGGAGTCCCTAAGCCAAACCAGGAGCATGTCACATTCTAAATGCTGGCTGGAGGGAAGAATTCTTGAGCCTGGGACAGTTTGGGATATGACTGCAAGGAAAAAGGGGGGAAACTGATGTGACTGCCTGTAATTAGACCACAACTAAGAAGGGAATTGTGTGGGCACTCAGGCTTTATGGCATAGCGGTCATGTGGGAACTCCACATACAGTCTCTTGGAGTGCTTGATCTGGTACCCTCTTTGGATTTTTCTTTGTTGTTAATTTTTTTCCACTAGTTTAGTTGTTTATTTTTTTGTCTCTTCTCTTCTTCCTATTCTTTTTCATTTGTAGCTTCTGTAGCAATACTATTTTATTATTTTTTACTTGTTTCTCATACTTTTTAAATCTCTCAAGTTTTTCCCTCTATCCTACTCTGTCATTTATTCCTATCTTCTCTTGTTTTAACCTTCTGTCCTCTCTATTCTATCCTTTTTGCTCTTCCTTATTTTACTTAGCCTCTTATTTTCCATTGCCTCTTCTCCACAATACAGGTGCACAAATACATCAACCGGTTCTGACAACCTCGCAGCTCTCCTCAATCTCAATTTACACAACCCTCCTCCTACCTGTTCTCTCTCCAAGAAATATTTTCTTAAAACCCTCAATATTAACTCTTCGTTCCAATTATAAAAGATCCCCAAAATAATCTGACCCTTGTCTAATATTGTACCTATTATTATTTCTCCTACCTGACTCTCCTGCTAGTGATTTACACTCCTCTTTCACCCATCCTTCCAACTCTTCACCTCCCTTTACCTTCCACATCACAGACCAACTTCTAATAACAATAATGGGTGAAGTATAAATGTAAAGTTTAACATATGAAAACAAGACCAAAAAAGGTCTCCAAAAGGTCACAACTCTCCGAAAGAATCCAAGGCAGGTGCAGGAGGCAACATGGGAGAGGAAAAAAAATACTAAGTAGCTGAGATCTATGAATTTATTAAAGATGTAAAGAAATTTGTTGAGTTCAAAGAGGACATGACTCAAAAGTTCATGAAAATTATCATACAAAATGACCAATATAGACATGAAAGAAACAAATAATAAATCAAAAGAGCTAACCAAAACAGTTCAAAACATGAATGACAAATTTATCAAAGATATAGCTTCCACAAAAAAAGAATCAGATATAAAATACTGGAAAGAGAAAACTGTATAGATTTCATAAATTGCAGAATGATCAACGTGAAGACAGGGTTTCTAAAGTCAAGGACAAAATTGTAAATTATGATGAACTACTGACAAACCTTAAAAATGATAAGAAAACAAGAAAAATTCACCCATCAGCTATTAGACAATGCTAAGATAACCAATCTAAGGCTAATTGGAGTTCACCATGAATGCAATAAAAAATTTGTTTATAGAAATCCTAACAGAAAACATTCGAAGTATGAGGAAAGATTTTAAGATACAAGTAAATGAGACTTAAAGAACATCCACTACGATGAAGAAAGAAGATCCCCATCATGCAT